CATTGGCCACAGGTTTATCAACTCAACCTTCAGCCCCTCTTCCCTGAGGGATGGGAGGGGAACACCAGACAACTGAAAATTCCAACCAATCACAAAGTTGTTTTCTCTGGCAACTAGTCACCATCCTAAAGCTATCTGGGGGCACCCCAGTCATCAGTCATCTCTAGCATACAAAAGACACTCATCACCCTGGAGACTCCAAGGATTTTAGGACCTCTATGTCAGGAAATATGGACAACACCACATTTCACAATACATATTTCACAATATCACAGATATTACCAAGAGACAGACAATAGCATCTGATCTCTTCACAAGATCTGTTCTAGGAACTGATCTGATGCCACATCTCACCTCTCATTAGGAGATATGGAATAGCACCTATATAATTGTACTCCCATGTTTCCTTGTCTTCAGCCTTTCTGTGTTTAATTCTTTGGGACTCAAACATTAGTTTTTATAGAAAGAGATCAATTCTAGATACTGCAGTAAAGTTGGTAGAATAGGGGTGAGAGAGATGGATTCAAAGAGATGTTCGACCCCTTAATTATAATGCTTTTAGTAAGCACTCAGTCTCTACCTTAGTGCAGGTGAGTAGGACTCCTGCAGCCTTCCCAAAGATCCTCCTGTCCTCAGCTCTTGGCTGGACTTGCTTCTTGCCTTGATTACTACAGTAGGTTTTGTTTTTGTTGTTGTTTTAGTACTGGGGATTGAACCTGGGGCTCTTTAACACTGAGCTACATGCCAACGCTATTTTTTATTTTGAGACAGGGTCTTGCTTGTTGAGGCTGGCAATCCTGCCTTAGCTCCTGAGTTGTTGGGATTATAGGCATGCACCACCATGCCCAGCTCTCCTGCAGTAGCTTCATAACTCTGCTAATTTCTAGTCTTATTCCTCCAATCTAGCCTTCACTTTAATAACATGGTAAAATCAAGTCTAGGCCAGGGAAGGACAAGAAGAGACTGCCCAAAGCTTCAGGACAAAATCCAAAGTCCTTAGGAGCAAATGCCTTCCTGATCTCTACCTGATCTTTCAAAGTCAAAAATCTGAACCCATGGTGATTCCTCTGCTTGGAATGCTCTGCCTTTAACTACTTGCCCTTTACTTTGTAAGGGGCTGGCTATCAAGATTAAAATCTTCCAGAACCCAAACCCCAAATAGGGTGCTGAAAATGCAACACAGGAGCAGAAACAAACCAGTCCCTGATCTCATTGTACTCAGAGCCCAGAGGAACTCAACTGTGCAGAGCTGAGGCCAGTGACACTATAATCACAGTTATAAAAGCATGTAACTAGGAAACCTGATCTAGACCTGAGGTTCACAGAGGGTTTCCCAGAAGAGGCAACCTGAACTGAAACTCCAAGAAAGCTTAGATTTAACTAAGAGGAGGAGGGGGGGATATGGTAGGCCTTCCAGAATAATGTATATAAAAAGTATGAGAGAGAACTGATAAAATGGAGGAATAGGGCAGGTCCAGCATGGCCACAAAACAGTACAAGTTGCCAGAATCAGTCATACTGATTCTGTAGTATGACAGTAAAGATTTTGGTCATTATCTTAAAATACATGGGAAAGCCACCTACCCTGGTCTTTAGGTAACTCCAATGGAAATGAAAGGATGGGAGCTAGGTGGTGAGCAAGTAGCAGCTTAGCAGCTGCTCTACCTATCCTATCTCCAACACCCAAAGCTACAAGTGAAGTGGTCTGCAGGGTTAGGAAGACTCACCCCTAAGCTCACAATTGTCCTCCCTCAAAGGGAAGTGAAGGAGCTGGAGGAAAACTCTGAAAGGAAAGCTTGAATCCTTTAGATTGTCTGGAGAGTCCATATCTTTCCATTTCTGCCTCTCCTCTAGCTAACATTGCCAACTCAATTCAGGTGGGCTATAGGACAAAACCTGCATTCCCCACTTGGCCTCACAGGAGGGGATGCAGCAACAAATGTGACTTACAAAGGGATGGGTACTAGAACAGAAGCCATCTGAGGTCTCAGATGAGCAGAGAGGAAAGAGATCCAGACCTGGAGGGACCTGGGAGGACCAGGCCAAGATAGATAGGATTCCATGGGCCAGATGTGAGCCAAAGGAAAGCCAGCCACCTTGGGAACCTCCAGCTCCAGAAAGGGGACCTGAGGTCCTTGAGCTTACATGTTGAACTTGGAGAAAGAAGTTCGTTTTGAACCCAGACTCTGGGTGGTACCTCAGTAACAACAATTCCAAGGGGCTCCCCAAATTTCAAGAAAAAGCAAGCAGAACTATTAATTGTATTGTCCAGGTCCTTGGTCCCAACAAAAAATTAAGCAAGACACAGAAGTAACAGGCAAAGTGCAGATGTATTGAAGGTGAACATGGAAATAGCATTCTGCAAGTTACAACTGAGAGGGCAGAGTAAGAGAGAGGCTCAAGGCCCCTGTGTCTGGGAATTAGTGTTTTATATGCTGAGCTCTGGGGCACTTTCTTCCTTATGACCTGATTGAAAACCTTACCCCGTTTGTTCCCATTGGTTACCATATGCTACCTGATTAGAATAGTATCCAATTTTCCCCCATTGGTTACTTCAAAAAAACTTAATTAGAACACTGTCCATATTACCTCCACTGACTATTTTAGAAAATCCAACCTGGACAGAATTTATCATGGGCCTTGAGTCCTCAGTGGTGGGAGTTGTCAAGGTAATGGGACTTATGGTAGATAAACAGTGACTTGATGACTCATTTTCCTGTCTTGTCTTCCAGTGGCTATTTCTTGTACCCTGCCTCTGCCATTTTGGCATCCCTGAACTCCTACCCAACAAAATGAGGGTTCTCAAAATTAAAAAAAAAAAAAAAAAAAAAACTGGAACAATATAACTGCTCAAGGGGTGGAGGAACATAGTTCTTGAGGGCTGCTCATAAGCAGACAGGAAATCTCTTGGGAATAGCTCAGTCTACACAGGTTGGTGAGTGTGGTCCTTGACTTCTCTTTTTAGGTTGAGTGCCCAGAGAGCCAGGGAAGTGTTAGTGTGATCTGGGTCCTGGGCAGCAAACTGGTTATGGGGTGGATGGAGACAGGGGCCTTCCACAACCACCAGAGAAAAAAACACAGGGGTTGAGGTAGCATTAAGTATGGAAAAGTGAAAAGACAGCTATTTGGAAATGTCAAGGAGGCAGCTCATGTCCAAGTCTGGGCCCAAAGAGCACAGTCATCAAAACTGTGCAGGAGCACTGCCAGGACTGCACAATAGGAGAGCCCAAAAGAGACTGACAGTAAAACAGGAAAGTTTGCAGCCAACCAGGAGAACAAGCAGTCTTCCTGGAGGGATCCTGGCATACTCTGCAAGCCTGGGCAGCCAAGCTTGAAGCTTTGCCAGGGTCATTGGCCTAACTTATGCTTTCCTGCCCCTAGGCATTCCAGTATGTGTTTGCTATGTGGAGTGTCCCCTACCTCCATCTCATGCTCAGTCCACTGATACACCAGTGCAGAATATTTGCACTGGAACATTATTCCCTCCATATACACACAGGGCTGTCTCACATCTGCATGTCTTAAATGCCAATCTTCCCCCTATAATCCTGCCCTTGTTCCCTCCTCAGGAAACTGTGCAAAAGCAAAAACAAACAAACAAACAACAACAAAAAAAAAAACCATCTCCCACCCCCACCGCTTTTGTTCATAACTGCATCCACAAGCCTTAAAACAGCCCAGTACCCAAAAGGTGCTCCCTAAATTCTGAAGCATTGCCAGGCATTTTTTGGGATGTAGGTACTAATATTATTTCCAATTTCATTTCACAGATGAGAAACCAAAGTTAACATTCTATCTTACAAAGAGAAAAGTAAATACTTATGTATAAATTCCACCCCTTTATTTTACATAGATATCAGTGGTTGCAATCTTAACGATATATGCTACTCTTTAAAAAAATATTTGGAAGCAGGCACTGTGGTGTGTTCCTGCACTCCCACCTGCTCCGGATGCTGAGGCAGAAGGATTGCGAATTCAAAGCCAGTCTCAGAAATTAAGCGAGGCCCTAAGCAACTGAACAAGACCCAATCTCAAAAAATAAAAAAGGGCTGGGGATGTGGCTCAGAGGTTAAGTGCCCAGGGTTCAATTCCCAGGACACTCCCCCGCCCCCGCCCAAAAAGAAAATTGGGCGCAGCTGTCTGTTAAAGATACAGATGCGTGACAGTGGGAGACTACATTTTTAAGAAAGCTTGCTTGAGTGTAAGGCCAACTGGCAGCCAGGTACGTATTCCACCGCTTCCCTTCCAAGCACGGATGGACTCCCAACCCGCAGGCTTTTCATGTGGAGTGGCCAGACCCACAAAGGGCTTCGGATTAGTCCGGAAGTTAAACCCACCACTTGCTCTCCAGGCCTTTAGAGTCTAGGAGATCTCTCCGCATTCCGACCTAGGCCAGAACAGGGTGGCGGTCTAGTACCACATAGGCCAATTTTTAGCTCATACAGGGCTTTCTGCTCCATAATCCTCTCCGGCCTTAATCCTGCATAGAATAGACGTGGAACGCCCCAGCTAACACCCTCAGCATAAAGCTCAGGGCATAAAGCTCTTGGGATAAGAGCCGCCACTCCCCCGCGCATGGAAATCTATTAAGCATGGTTTAAAACAAACAAAAGTGTAAGTACCGTATTTTTCACTCTCCCTGTTTACAAGGGTAAACTCAAAACTCCCTCAGCTTTGCCTTCAATGGAACCAAGCGGAAGGGGCGGAGCTCGAGCTACGCCACGTAGGAGCTGAGAAGTAGCTAGGATAGCCTTATGGGAATAGCCGTACACTTCCCCTTTTTTGCTTGTATATAGCGTTCTAATCATACTTTTAGAAGCTTTTTTAATAGATAATGATATTGTCTGTTTCAGAACTATTGGTAGAGCGCTATTGCGTGGCGGAAGACACCACGATGAGTGATTGAACCTCGTTCTTCCTACGACTGGACGTCGCCATCTTGAGTAGAACTGAACCATGGGGGCCGCCATTTTGCTGGACCGGGCGGGTATTTCCGGTTCCGGCGGGGGGAAAGCGCTCTCTTTTCCTTTGCAGGGCTGCGGCGCGGTGGCTGCGGTGCTTGTCTCTCTGAGCTATCCGGTGCCATCCTCGTCGCTGCGGCATCGCCACCCGCCGCTGCCATGACTGAACAGATGACCCTTCGTGGTACCCTCAAGGGCCACAACGGATGGGTAACCCAGATCGCTACTACTCCGCAGTTCCCGGACATGATATTGTCCGCCTCTCGAGGTACATGCTAAGGTGTTGGGCGAGACTGGGTGATGGGGGTAGGGGTGTTGCGCTTGTCGTGGGATTGGGCGGGTGGCGCGCGAATTTGCAGGCCGAGCAAGCTCTGTCACCGACTGTGAGTTGGTGAGTACAAACCCGATCCTAGGCCTCAACCGAGACGAACAATTTTACAGATGAGCACGAGTCATAGTCCGTCATTGCCAGGAATGGTTGAAGACTTTTTAAATCTCTGGCCCACTTCTCAGTTGTGGTCAAATATTCCCAGGGACCACCTGGCTGGGCGGAGCGGTGATGACACCAACATGCCATCTGAATGCCATGTGCTGAAAAACAGAGGCTGTTTCTGAGCTGCTGCCCTGCCCTGGGTTCAATGGGAATTGGGTAGACTCCAGAGGGGCCTTGGTGACCCACATCTCCCAGCCTGCGCTTTCGGCCCTCTCTCACTCTTGTACCTAATAGAGCTTAGAAAGGTCTTGGGCTTTATCATAGCTGCCACAGAATGAAAAATCGCCCAAGGGCTAGGTTCATGTCTGACACTTATTAATTTTCAGACTTGTTGAATGAGCCGCATTTCCATAAAAGCATCCAGTCCTGTAGCATATGAAGAGACTTATCAGCTTTGATTTCTGCATTTCTGTCAGCCCTCATAAGTAATCACAGGAAGTCCCCAGTTACTCATCCCACACCCAAGCTGCTGTCTTTCCACATTCAGAGAAGATGCAAAATAAATGTTTTATAAATACGAATCTCGGGAAAAAGTATCCATAATCTCTGACACCTGAGTTGGGGTCTTGTGGCACATCTAGCTTTAAAACTGCCTGTCTCTCTATCTGCAATAGTGGGTAATTCAGTCCAGGATAGTAACTGCTCTCATAGCCTACAGTTCCCCTGGCCACATAAATGTTCTCAACTTTATTCTCTTTAACCCACCCACAACCCTGAGACACCTTGTTATACATCAGCAAGTGGGCTGAGTAGGGTTCTCATGGATTTTTCTTCTCCTGTTTTACCTCCTTTTAGATAAGACCATCATTATGTGGAAGCTGACCAGAGATGAGACCAACTATGGTATCCCACAGCGTGCTCTGCGGGGTCACTCCCACTTTGTTAGTGATGTGGTCATCTCCTCAGATGGCCAGTTTGCCCTCTCAGGCTCCTGGGATGGAACCCTGCGCCTCTGGGATCTGACAACGCAAGTAGCTGCTCTGGGGCCTTGGGGGAAATATGGGCAGAAATGAATAGATGCCATCAGAATATGATTTCCCAAGGGAAATTGGTCCATCTGGGAAGGATGAGGCTAAAATACCTACAGAAGATAGTTGCAGTTGTTTGGCCTCCTTCCTTGATTTAATTGAGTTAGCTACTTGAAGTTGCTGAGGACTGATCTAATTGGAAAGTTTTGCTGGGTACATTAGTTGGAGTTGGCAACCATTTAAATATGTTTGAAAGGTGGTTAGGCACTTGACAGGTATAATGGAGGATCCTGGTGATGACAGATGACATTGTCACCCAATCCCCACAAGGAAATGAGGACATGTCCTGCAATTCTGAGTGGATTCTCTAGCATATATGCAGCCAAGAACTTGCTGTAATCCAAGCCACATCTAGGTTATGTGAATAACATAACCACTGGGTCAGGAACAAGGCAAGTAAAAAGATTTGGCTATGGAAGGGAAAAGTTTGCAAAGTCTGTCTAGAGAGTGACCAAGTTCTTCCTCCCAGGGGTACCACCACAAGACGATTTGTAGGCCATACTAAGGATGTGCTGAGTGTGGCCTTTTCTTCTGACAACCGGCAGATTGTCTCTGGATCCCGAGACAAAACCATAAAGTTATGGAATACTCTGGGTGTTTGCAAATACACTGTCCAGGTAAAGTAAGGGCGACATCAGAAAGCACATGTTCAAGACTCTCCTACCCTTACTCTTAACCTTTTTTTCTGTGGTAATTTTAACTCCTGTCTGGAGTCTATAAAGGTTCAGTTTCTGGGGATGTAAATGCAGTGCTGCCAACATTGATCCTACTGATGAGGGGTGGTATATAGCATTTCTTGGGACAGGACTGTTTCCTCTTATTTCTTTCCTTCCTCTGTAGGATGAGAGTCACTCGGAGTGGGTGTCTTGTGTCCGCTTCTCACCTAACAGCAGCAACCCTATTATTGTCTCCTGTGGCTGGGATAAGCTGGTGAAGGTGAGCTTCCAAACAGGGTGCAGGACCTTTACAGGCCAAAATGTATGCTTTGCCTCCCACATAGTCATAGGCTTTAACTTTGAACATTTTTATAGATTACCTCAGTTGACTTTTTGCTCTTTATATTTTTTCAGTACAGAACATAAATTTTTGACATTCGATCTGAAGTAGCTAATTATCTCACAGCATTTGCCACCTGTTTTGGTCTCATTTGATCTTAATTCACTTTGTCCCATAGTCCTAATAGATGGGGTTGTGTGGCTCAGTGGTAGAGTGCTTGCCTGGCACATGTGAAGCACTGCGTTCAGTCCTCAGCATCACATTAAAAAATAATTATTAATAAATAATACTCATATGTAAGTAATGTATAAACTCAGATTATGGTTTCCAAACTATTTTAATGCACTTGTGTCACTTTGTGAAATATTTGCAGAATTGAAAATTTGGAACTTAATGAGTTAAGTGACTGAGACAAGTTTGTGTTGGTTTGCATTTTCATTTTTGTTACTGGTAGAATGATAAATGGCTGTTATGCCAAGGAACGCTTTTAAATAATGTCTCCTTACTCTGCCCAATCTTGAACTAGATTGTTCATCCATGAGCCCTTGTCTTTGTAGGTGTGGAATTTGGCTAATTGCAAGCTGAAGACGAACCACATTGGCCACACCGGCTATCTGAATACTGTGACTGTCTCTCCAGATGGATCCCTCTGTGCTTCTGGAGGCAAGGTATTTTGGGACTAGGCATCTTCTACTCGTTGAGGAAAGGTGTCTCAGAAAGAACACTTTGTCTTTGACATAAATTGACAGCTGAAAGATTAGCTAGGTTTTTCAAGATATGTTCCTAAGGACAATATTTTCCAGAAATATACTGTTTGTCTCCTCAAAGCAGTATAGGAGGCTCTTGATACACTTGGTGAGGTGTCATTCAATAAAGGAAAGATTTAAAGAAATAATGGAATTTTGCCAGGCACAGTGGCACACACCTTGTAATCCCAGCACTTCAGGAGGCTGAGACAGGAGGATCTCAACTTCAAAGCCATCCTCAGCAACTTAGTGAGATCCTTTCTCAAAAGGACTGGGGTGTGGTTCAGTGGTTAAGCATACTCCTGGGTTAAGTCCCTGGTGACAATAATAGTAATAATGGTATTTGAGCTTTCAGGAAGTCAGGGTCCTGGGGGAATTGAGTCTGACAAAATCTTGAGGTGAAAGGGGCTGACATCTGGAAGAGGTCACATTGCCCTAACTCATCTTTCATGTCTGCCCAGGATGGCCAAGCCATGCTGTGGGATCTCAACGAAGGCAAGCACCTTTATACACTAGATGGTGGGGACATCATCAATGCTCTGTGCTTCAGTCCCAACCGTTACTGGCTCTGTGCTGCTACAGGCCCCAGCATTAAGATCTGGGTGAGTATGGGCTACATTACATACCGAGTTCTTGGATGCACTGTCTCTACCTCCTCATTTCCTCCCCAGCGATGCTGTGATTTACTGTGTGCCATTTTCAGATCAGAATTTTCTGAAAATCTCATGGATTTAAAAAAAAATGCAGTGGTGTAAGTGTTCTCTATACTCTGGTTTTGACCTGTTCCCCAGGACTTGGAGGGCAAGATCATTGTAGATGAACTGAAGCAAGAAGTTATCAGTACCAGCAGCAAGGCAGAGCCACCCCAGTGCACCTCTCTGGCCTGGTCCGCTGATGGCCAGGTAAGTGGGTCTGTGCTGGCTTTTGAAAAGGGAGCACGTCCTGAGACTCTGTTTTTATTTCTGGGGGCACTATTCCATGGAACATTCTATCCAAAAAAGGGCAACAGATGGGTGTGATCCAACCCCATCTGGGGACAGTCACTCCTGGAACAGTACCTTGGACGTAAAGTCCAAATTGCATTGCAGTGAGTGCACTACCAGTTCAGTGCCTCCTTACTCAGAACTTAAAAGGTGTGTACATAGCTTCTGTCCAGAGAGGCTTCTGACAGAAGTTGAACTTCAGCTTCTCCTGCTTCGGCCTCCCCAGTTACTAGGATTATACACCTGGCTGTTTTTTGCTCTAGGAGTACTTAATGGATTATTAGCACCTGTACTATGGTAATTGAAAGAGGGTTTTTTTTTGTTTGTTTTTTAATGTGGTACTGAGGATCAAACCCAGGGCCTTGCACATGCTAGACAAGCATTCTACCACACCACAGGGTTTCTTAAAGGAAAGGCTATCTTTGGGACTGTAGTTTGTGACTAGACCTTGACCTGTCTGTTTTTTCCCCTTATAGACCCTGTTTGCTGGCTACACAGACAACCTTGTACGAGTATGGCAGGTGACCATTGGCACTCGCTAGAAATTTTATGAGAGCTTCACAAATAAAAAGAAAAAAACTGGCTTTCTACAACTGACTTCAGTTCTTTTAGGAAGTATTTTTCTCTAATAAGTGAAAAAAGATACTTACAGGTTAAAATAGATTTAGTTAATAGTAATGTAAAACTGGAAGCAGAATCATGAAACTTTTTAACCAAGTAAACATAACTATGGGAAAGAGGTATGTCAGTTTTTAAAGTTTCCTCTAGTATTGGGTTGGCATTAGATGTAACATATGGGATAGTACATAGGGAAGCTCCCCAAATATTCCCCCAATAAGGCTTACCTTAGGCCTAGAGAAACTGAGTTGAAAGGAATGGATTACTTCAAAACGGTTGCAGTTGATTTAGGAATACCAAGTTTCCTTACGTTTTCTCTCATTTCCTCCAAAGATGTATTCAAGAAACTTTGAAATCTCAGATTACCGTATCTCCATTAATTTGGGTCCTTGGTTAAACTGGAGGAATGGGTTGTGCTGGGGATTGAACTCAGGCACTCAACCACTGAGCCACATTCCCCAACTCTATTTTTGTATTTATTTTATTTAGAGACATACTTGTTTTCTTAGTGCCTCACTGTTGCTTAGGCTGGCTTTGAACCCACAATCCTCCTATTTCAGCCTCCTCAGCCACTGGGATTATAGGCATATGCCACTGTGCCTACAATTTTTTAAAAAAACTAGGCAGCATCAGAAAGTGTGCGCTAGGGATTAAATCCAGAGACATTATACCACTGAGCTGCATCCCCAGTTCTTTAAGACAGGATCTTGAAATTGCATACACTGGCCTTGAATAAGTAGTGGGATAATATGTGTCTATAATATTTTTTAGTTGTAGGTAGATATAATACCTGTATATTTATATGGTGCTTGAGGATCAAACCCAGTGCCTCATGCCTGCTAGGCAAGTGCTCTACCACTGAGCCACAACCCCAGTCTTGGATTAGGGTACCTCTAACCTCAAACTTAACTATTTCAAAGTTATATGAGCATACCAAGTTTCCACAAAAATAGTCACTTGAATTTTGTGGAGATTCCCAGGGGAAGCTTTATTCTTCTATGGACCCTCAGTATGGTAGTACAAGGTAACAAATGATCTTTACATATAGATTTTGAATGCTGTGCCAATAAATGGGGATGTTAGAATAGGAAATTTTTATCCCAATCTTTGCTGGAACAGGAAAGAAGCACTTAGCCAGTTTTATAATACTAAGAAATCACTTCTGATTTGCACCCTCGTATCTACTTGAGAGATGGACTCCACAAAAGAAGCAAATAAACATTTTTATTTCTGCAACACAATCCACCTTCCCATTCCCCCCCAAGAACATGAGTTGTCCTCAGCCATCAAAGCAGAGGACAAAAGCTGACAAGTGACAGAAGGCAAGGGGTTACTAGAAAAATAGATTATACCCAAGGCTCTCCTTCCCAGGGATCCAAACCCCTGGTCCCTGTCCCCAGGCTCCCCATCAGACTTTGCCAAGTGGAGGGAAATAAAAGTCATGGGGAAAGGCTGGAAACTGAGGAAAGCAACTCCATTGAACAAAGGGTTAAAGAAGCCTGGCAGTGAAGACAGGGGTAGGGTGGGGTGAGCTTTGCTCCTAGATTCAGTGTTGGAAAAAGGGGAGAAAATAATTTATTGGGTGATGTAATGGTATGTAGTTTCAATCATGTTGACCATCCCAGATCTCTCACTGAAGCTAAATTCTGGCCGGTCTATGGAGGTAGAAATTGGGGATGGAAGGAAAGTTTTAGAATCCCTCCTATTCCCCAGGAGAGTAGACATTTCTTTACCCAGCTCTACCCTTTTGCCCAGCCTGCCTTCCCAAAACAACTTCCAAATCCTTAGCTAAAAATTGCACCATAAGATGGAACTGGAATGGGGATGTTATGAGTCTTGCCCAAACCCTCCAGCCCCAGAACTGACAAGGTTTAAGAGTAGGGGTGGGGAAAGAAGTTAAGGGATGAAATTACACTCTCTTCTCATCCCCTACTCAAAAGTTAGACCCCAGGGCTGGGCTGAACTGGGCTAGGCAGACAGGAAGGGAAGACCAGGCAGGCAGGCAGCTGTTCTCATTATCAGGGACCCATGCAGACCTGTTGGACAGACAGTAGGTGAGAGTAGGCCGAGCTGGAGGCCAGGAAGGTTCTTTAGGCTCCTAGAGGGAGAAGCAGGGGCCTGGGGTCAAGGGGGAGCAGGAAGCAACGCAGTAACAAACGTGGGAGGAGCCTTTCAGCCCCCAAACTTACGGGCCATCATCCACCACCACCCGCCCCCCCAGTGCGGACCAGAGGGGCCCCTGCGGGTGGTAGGCTGATCAAGGGCAAAGCTTGATGCGGGTACCCTTGGATAGCACCCGAAAGAAAGGGAAGACACGCTCGCCCAGGAAGGCAGCTGAAAATGTATGCACGTGAGCTAGAGTCTCCGCATTGTAGAAGCCCAAGCGCCCAGCCTCATAGTCCAGGTATACGCCAAAGCGCCGTGGTTTCTCACTTGGACTCAGCAGTGTCTGCTCTGTTGAGCTCTGTGCCTGGTACCGTTTGCCATTGGTACCCACACACCACACTTCCCGCTGAAGCAGGGGCTGCTGGGGCAGATGGAGCCGGCGGCGGCGATGGTGATGGCGTGAGGAGCTGGCATCCCCGCTGCCCACAGAGGACCCCCCGGAGCCCACCTTTTCTTTATGATGGGTTGATTCACGGGCAGCGCCCACCGCCCAGCCCCGCCGCCCGCCCACCTCTACCTCCCAGTAGTGCCGGCCAGAGCGGAAGCCTTGGGCCCCCAGTACGCAGCAGTCAGCCGAGAAGCGCTTGGGATGGTCAGCAACCTCTTGCCGCCGTTCTGCCAGGCGGACCCCCCGGCGGTCAGGGGACAGCATCAGGGCTGGGTGAGCGGTGTCAGGATCCAGCGTCAGGTCCACTTGGGAGGGAGGACAAATACGCCAGGGCTGGAACACTATTCCCCATCAGAAGCCAACTCCAAAGGTTCAGTCTTTCCTGCTGTACCTTCCTTGTCCCCCAACCCCCATCGATCCCATCTAGCTCTCCTCAGCTCCTCCCCATACCAGTTTACAGGACAGGCTCAGGTTCCTATGAGTTCCACCCCTTTCTCCAATCTTGTTCCCAGGACACCTGATAGCCATTCCCCAGTCCCTGACTGTTCTTGCCACCTCATCCATCCTGTCCCTACCCCCACCCCCACAACCTACCTGAGCTATGACAGAAGTTATTCTAGGCTTGAATTTTCAGTGTAGTCTACCTATAGCCTGAGCCACCTCAGCCCCCTGCACTACCCCCATGGCCCAACTTCCCTCAGAACCCAATCTCAGGTCTTTGAAGGGAAAGGCAAAGGAAGGTCATACAGGTGACCTCCCTACCTCTCGCAGCCTGACAGAACATCCGGCTCATTTTCCTCACGATGGCATCTGTCAGGAAGTCATGGCTATGGGGTTGGCACGGGTCAGGGGACCAGATCTCTGGGGGCTGCAGCTGTACCTCTTCACACCTGGAGGAAGGGGACCGGGCAGGGGGTGGGACCATGATATTCCCGGAGGGAAGAGTAGAAGCTGAGGGGAAGGAGAGGAGGGTCCAGGAGGCAGAAACTCAGGTCCTGGGGAAGGAAGGAGAGGAGAGGGATACCCAAGAGAGGCAGGGATGGGGAACCAGATATCACTGGGTCACAAAGGGTAAAATGGGAACACACCTATTGAAAGTCTCCTTGATGTCCTGGGAATAACAGAAACAAAAAGAGGGAGAGGGAGAAAGAGACAAAGAGAATGTCAGCTGCACAGAGACCATTGCTTTCTCCCAATCTCCAGCCAGAGAAAGGTCTGCACTTGAACAGGAAGGGAGAAGCAGGACCTCAAGGCCCTTAATAAACATGCATGTGTCATCATACATCCCTATGTCTGACTATATCTAACATCTCATCCAGCTGAAAGCCCAGTAACAGAATTTCATAATATGATTTGGTCACCTTTTTTAAAAATTCATTCCTCAACTCTCATTCATCCTCCTTCTAGATCTAATTCTTCCTTCTTTTCATTGGGTAGAACTGTTACACACACCACATTTAACATTGTCTCCAGCCTCAAAAACCATTTTTGGTGTTCAGGTTAAAAACTGTTGTGAGTTCTTCCGGAAAGAAGAGGTAGCTCTGGGCAGAGGTAATGGTGAACACAGCCTAACAGGGCAAATAGGGAGCTGGGGAGGTGACAGGCAGGGTAGAAAGGAGCACAGTGCTCACCTGTAGTAGTCGCAGGCCCCCCTGCTGACTCCGCTCCTGGGCCTCAGCCAGCAGGCGGCTCAGCTGGGCAGCCTGTTCAGCAAGGCGGCTAGCCACTGTTCCAGCATGTTCCAACTGAGCTTCATGCATCTCTCGGAGGCGCCGCTCCAGCCCTGCCTGCTCTTCAGCCAGAAACCGTGTGAGCCGCCCAAACTCTGAAGCCACAGCAGCCAGCTCTGCCTTCATCTGGCTCTGGAATGATGCGAAGGGGATGGGTGATATCACTGAATGTATAGGAAGGTAAATCTCCTGTTTTCTAACTGCTGTCTCTCAATCCAAAGCAAAGGAGCCCTACATTCCTCAAATCCAAGAAGAATCACAGTTCCTTCTCCTTCCTACACATACTTCCCTGGCAACTGGTCCCAATGGCACCAACAACTGCCTGGAAGGCTTCTCTCTACCTTGTCTACCTAACTTGACTTGCCCTTCAGTCTAAGCTTACATATTCTGAGAAGCTTTCTCCCTTCCAAATCTAATCAGCACCATCTCCATAAATATCACTGTTATCTTTCCATGGCATATACAGTATTGGAAATGCTGTTTAAAATAAAGTCAAGTATCCTTTAAAATTATTTTCCCCAGAGGCACTGTAAGCTCCCACCAGCAGGGATTATGCCCAATTCCTGTCTGTTTGCTATAGTGTCATCAGACTGTGTCAACTAAAGAGTAGGTACCTGGTAAGAATTTTTTTGACATCAGTAAGTAAGATAATTCAGGAATCAAGACATCAACTTAGGGTCCTCACTATGTTGCTATTCAGTGACCTTAGAAAAGTCACCTAAGTGCTCTAGATCAATAATCAGCAAGCTTCTTCAGTAAAGATTGGTTAGTATTTTGCACTTCATGGGCCAAGAAGCAAAATCAATGATATTAGAAGGTATAGTTGTCCCAAGGTATTCAAGTGGAATTGGTTCCAGGATTCCCCAAGTTTCAGGGGCCCTTACATAAAATAGTATTTGCATATAACCTACACATACACTCTCATATCCTTTAAACATCTCTAGATTATTTATATTACTTAATATAAATGCTATGCAAATAATTGTTCTACTATATTGTTTAGGGAAAAATGACAAAGGAAAAATATCATGCATGTTCAGTACAGATGTAATTTTTTCCCAAATATTTTTTTCCTTTTTCCACATATTTTCAATTCAACGTTGGATATGGAATGCACAGATACAAAGGGCAACTGTACTTAATATCCTACAACAACAACAACAAAAAAACACCCCTGCTTAGTCCTACCCCATTTGCCTGTGCTGGGACCATCCTGGGTGATGGGCATACTTTTCACCCATGACTATCAGTGGGAGACATTCTCTGGGTAAAAATAACTGGCCAGAGTAGGGAGGGCAAGCCAACTGGGTGAGGGAAGCAGCCATCAGTTTTACCTTCTGCTCCAAAGATACTCAGGTCCTGGCCCCCAATCCCAGAGATTCCCAAAGTTATCAATATGGACAGAGGCAAGGTGGCTCTTTAACTCCCAGACTCAGATTCTGTATTTGCCAGCAGCAGAATCTCTAAAGTATAGACAGCGATGAGTATGGTTTTGGGAAGTGACAAGGCCCACACTCTGGTTGGGGAAGTTACATACTGGGAGGAGGGGAAGAGGGACAGAAGATGTCCTAGCTTGGTTTTTGAATCTCACAGTGCTAGTTCATTCCAACAGGACTTGCTGCCCTTATAAAAACAGGGAGAGGGTCAGGAAGTAGCAAGTAAGTGGAAAATATCAAAAAAGACTCTTTGGGGAAGGGTGAGCAATGATGAAAAAGGGCAAGAAACACTGGACAAGGAGCTATATCAGTTTCTGCAATGCTAATATTCAGTAATTCCTCCCTTCCCTTACATACCTTGGCCTTCTTCCGAGACAAGCCTCCCAGGACCACATCCCTCTCAACATCAGGGATGCTCTGTCTACTATCTACATCTATGCTAGGACTGGAACTTCTCTCATAGCTGCTGTGCGGGCTTTTCCCCCTTTTGCCCTCTATGCCATCCAGTGCTGAGTTAGATTTCTTGGTAGAAAGCTTTGCTCTGTAGCCTTGAGCCAGGTGCCCAATCTTACCAAGCCTGGCATTAGTTTTCACTCCATTTTAGAATCGAGAAAGGAACGTGTCCCCTCACAGCACCTCGTGCCCCCACCCCCCAATCACCTTACATCCCTGGGAAAGTATTTACACCTCTCCCATATTTGGCTGTCCTGTGTTCAGGGGATCTCATTATCACCTGTGAGCATAAGCAGGCTTATCTTCCTTGCCCTGACCATAGAACCAGTCAGCCTACTCAAGGACATCTACACACCTTCAGCTCTGTCACCCGCCTCTCCTCCTTGGCCTTCATCTTCTGCACAGCCTCCAGGTGCTTCCTAAGGGGTTCCACATGCCCCTGCAGTTTGGTCTGAGGGAATGGGAAAGAGAAGGTTAAAGGTGGGGGTTGTACTTCAGAGCCTGATATCCCCACCTCAGGTGTCAAGTAAACCCTTCCTCCTGTCTTCCCTCACATGATGATAAAGGCCTCCAATCATCCCCTGAACTCATGTACATTTTCTAAAGATGAGGTTCTATGATTACAGAGGTCCAAAACCAATAGTTGGGGTGGACAAGCCTTGAGCCTCTACCACATGGAAGTCTTTGCATGAGTATTCCTGACTTTGGTCCTTTCCACCTTATAAATGATCTTCATCTTTGAATACTTTTCTGATTATTTTATACCCATGTTAAGAATCTTTTGGTGATCTCCCACCATTTCCAGTGATCTGACCCTACATTTCTATCCTCACTTCATCCTTTCTATAGTCTTTCATTTAGTCACATAAAAGTACTTGTCTTTTCCTATTTTCTTTCTTTTTTTTTTTTGGTACAAGGGATTGACCCAGAAGTACTTAACTACTGAGCTACATCCCCAGCCCTTTTTATTTTGAGACAGGGTCTCCTAAGTTGCTTAGGGCCTTGATAAGTTGCTGAAGCTGGCTTTGAACTCACAAGCCTCCTACTTCAGCCTCCCAACCCTAGGCTGCGTATAATTTCTTGCTGTTCCCCCTGCCTGGGATTATCCTTCCCCACCTAGCCTAAGGCATTCTTACTTTAAAACCCAGCTCCCTAACCTGATTCTTCCTGCCCCCAACCTCCTCTGTGATCCCAAAGGATCTGGAATAAAACCTTTATATTACTTCCCACAAGTGTGCCTCTCCACCAGATATTGCATGGTCCCCTCCCCACTTAATTTCTGTACTTATGTTTTCTCTAATAGTCAATTACTTGCTAAATGAAAAGCAAAAATCCCTTCTTCCCTAAAGTTATTAACTTTCACAGCAATTAGGCACATTAACTTTTGTGGTCTAACAGTTTATAAGTGAGTCTTTTCCTTCTCCTGCCCCCATCTCTTCCATATTGGGGATTGAACCCAGGGGCACTCTATCACTGAGCTAAGGAGGTCCCCTCCCACCTTTTTTTTTGAGACAGGTTCTCACAACCTGGTCTCCTGCATCAGCCTCCTCAGTAGCTGGGATTACAGGTGTGCACCACCATGCCTGGCTCTGAGTCTATCTTTAAAGGGCTGTTAGAGACACCAGAATGGGTGAGTAAGTCCAACCTATTAGCTCTTTACTTTTTTTTTTTAATGTCTTCTATTTCTGCCTTGCTCCCTCCTTTTCCTTAGGGGAAAATACTGGATAGAAAACCTTAAGCCTAGACACTAACCAGGGCCTGAATGCACTTGGGTGATCTGAGGCAAGCCACAATTCCAGTTTCCTCAGCTTAAAAACGGGGATAGAATCTACCCCATGAATAGTATACTTAGCACAGTATCTGGCATGTGGCAAAGACCTGCAAATGCTATCTAGTATTTGCTATCTAAGTTGTCAGCTGCCAGTAATATCCTAGTAATGACCCTTGCACTAAAAGGGTTACTGACCCAGATTACAAAAGGCAGTTGTTGCACAAGTAAAGAAAAAATTACAGTAACAATAAAATGGCAGTCGTTCTATAACATGAAAATAGTAAAAGCCACACAAAATTTTGCATTTTGATATTACCACTACCGACACACACATCTAAACCCAGGAACATTCTACATACTGAGCTATGTCCCCCACCGTTTTCCTATTTTGAGACAGTGTTTAAGTTACCAAAGCTGGCCTCTAATTTTTGATCCTTCTGCCTCAGCCTCCCAGTAGCTGAAATTACAGACATGACCACATCCAGCTTAATATTATTTTATATTTCTCCACTGTACAATCAGTATTTCTACTCCATTAATTTGGAATTCATATGCACCATTATGCCTGGCTCTGAGTCTATCTTTAAAGGGCTGTTAGAGATACCACAATGGGTATCTATTTGCTCTTTCCTTTTTTTTTTTTTTAACGTCTTCTATTTTTTGCCTTGCTCCCTCCAATATTTTTCAATATTTTTCCTAAATCACTGACAAAAAAAATTCTTAAGCACAAACCCAAATAGAGTACTATTTAAGAGAAAATTTCAAGGACATTTCAGCTTTTAGGGACTTTACTTATGCATCATTTGTTACTACTATCTGTTCAATAAATATTTCTACAAAACAACAGTGTGCCGAGTTAATGCACATGTACATATAAGAATAAACTACCCATCTGTAAAAAAAAAGTCTCTAAATCAGAAAAGGAATCACTTGAATTAGATTTACATAATAAAGCATGTATCTACATTTGCTGATTAGTTAATGTCATATTAAATGTGTTTATCTGGCTTCTAAAACTGTTGGGCCTGGTAAACCGATCAAGGAAAAGGATTATAATTTCTTTTAACTCCTCATCCACTTCAGAACCTAGTAAAAGAATTTTTGGCAGCAGCAGACATTCAACAGATGTGGTTAATATAAATTAACAAAGTGACCACACATTGTATTATGGGTTCACCTAATTAGGAGCTGAGAGGATATAAAAGAGAAGGACAGCCCTGAGTATGGTGGTACATGACTATAATCCCAGCTACTTGAAAGGCTGAGGTTAAACATAAAAAGGGCTAGGCTGGGACTATAGCTCAGTGGTAGAGCACTTGCCTCGAATGTGTGAGGCACTGGGTTCGATCCTCAGCACCACATAAAAAATAAAATGACATACGCCGGTAATCCCAGTGGAATAGGAGGGAGGCTGAGACAAGAGGATCCAAAGTTCAAAGCCAGCCTCAGCAATGGTGAGGATCTAAGAGATAGTGTCTCTAAATAAAATATAAAATAGGACCGGGGATCTGGCTCAGAGGTTAAGTGCCCGTGAGTTCAATCCCTAGTACCAAAAAAGGAAAAAAAAAAAAAAAAAAAAAGACTGGGCTTAAGGGGCAGCAATTCCCTGCTAGGCTGAGCTTTCTAAAGCTATTCTCCTCTTAATTCAGAGTCTCTATCTTGTTGATACTGTGGATTGAACCCAGGGATGATTTACCACTGAGCTATAACCCTAACTCTTTTTATTTTTTATTCTAAGACAGGGTTCCAAGTTGCTTAAGACCTCACTAAGTTGCTAAGGTTGGCCTCAAACTTGCAATCCTTCTGCCTCAGTCTCCTGGGATTACAAGTATGTACCACTGTACCCTACCTGATTCAGAATCTCTAGTGGTAGAAGCTGCTTTATTTATTATTATTATTATTATTTTTGCATTACTAGAAATTAAATCAAGTTGTCCTCTATCACAGAGCTACATACTTAGTTTTTATTTTTTTTATTTTTAGACAGGATCTCACTAAATTACCAAGAGTAGCCTCCACCCTGCAATCCTTGTGCCTGGGATTATGATCATGGACCACCATGCCTTGCCCACTGTACTTTTGAAAACTTCCTCCAGTAACTCTAATAATCAGGCAGGTTTGACAATCATTGTGTGCAAGGAGATGAGGTCCTCCTTTAATGGCAGCATGCTGTGTTATTTATGGTTCCTGGAGATGAGGCAATCTGGGTTTCTCTTTTTATTTTATTTTTTTTTTTAGGTTTATCTTAGCTGTACCACTCTGAGCTGAGTTATTACTCTAAAAGTGAGGTAATGATAATAACCCCTAAATAAAGTTACTGAAGAAATCAGGAGAAGGGGTAAAACACAGTCATAAACAAACAAAAAAATTTCTGTGCAGACTACACAGAAGCTACCCTGCCTTCCTTCTGATCTCACTCCTTCAAATCCACCCAGACCATTACAAAGTAATGCTATTTGGCCTGGCACAGTGTTGCATGCCTATAATTCCAACAACTTGGAAGGCTGAGACAGGAGGATCATAAGTTTGAAGTCAGCCTCAGCAACTTGCTAGAGTCCTAAGCAAGTTAGCAAGAATCCTGTTTCAAAAAATAAAAAGGGCTAGGGATATAGCTCAATGGTAAAGCAGCCCTTGGTTCAACCTCATAGCCAAAAAAAAAAGAAAAAAGAAAAGTAAAGAAAAAAGTAATGTTATTTGTGCTGGCTATCTCTCAGAAAAATCTTTTTTTTTAACCTAAAAGTTAAATTGGAGGTAGGGAGCAAGACCTTAATCAAACTAAAATCAGACTACAAGAAGAAAGTTCACATGACAGAAAAGTCAAACTAAAAACAAACATACAAATGGTGGTGACACTGTTACAGGTATACCCCAGGGAGAGGGACAGCCATAACCAAATCCACAATTTACTAAAGCTTCGTGGCCCATGGTACAGTATTTACACCTTTCTGACTGTTCCCCATATTGTAAAATGAAACTGGAAAATATATCAACTTATAGAATGGTTTTAAGTTTTAAACGATAACCCATGAAAAGTGCCCAATTTACATAAGTGCCCAGTAAATATTAACTATCAATTCTGGAGAAATTAAAGTTCAAAGATACTCAGATACTTGAGCAAGATTTGATAGTAAGGCAGAGCTAGGTCTTCTGCCTTAAAAGCCACTCTCTTTTCCAGTCAGTACAACAGACCTGTACAGAGTAGACCAAAGACCTTGAGGTGGGAACCAAGCCATACCACAGGGTGGTATGGAATCCATTAGGAGGCAAGTGCAGTACATTTGGATATGATACTAGCATTTCTATATTCCTGTTTCATTCAAAGTCCTTTCTTGTTCTTTGAAATCCCCATTTCTTTCTACCCCAAGGGACTTAGTCAAGAAGGGACTTAAGACTCATCCAAAAGAAAATGAGAGTGCTAGTAAAGCCTTGGAGACCTGTCACTTGCACCCCTACACTTAGCAACAATGGAGGTGTGAAAAGCAGTGCCCTGCTTCCCAGAAGACAAAGCCCACTGATCTGACATCACTCACTTTGCCCTATTTACTTCCCAGGTCTGCTTCATTGTATCTGCTTTGTCTGTGTACAGGATTCTTCTCATTCAAACCCACCCTGGTGCCAATGCTTGGAGAGGGAAAATCAGTTCGCCAGAACATGAGGTACTCTGAGAAGTACAGATGTTTCCTTTTCCCAGTTCCCCTTAATAGTTCTCTAACCCCACTAAACTCCATCTGCACTTTTTACTTGTCTCACCTTGTATTCCTGTACCACCTCCTCCAATGGCACCACACTGTGCTGTTTGTGGCTCCTGGATTCTCGGCACACCACACAGATAGCTTCTTCATCCACCTCACAGAACAGCTTCAGAGCTTCTTGGTGTTTGGGACAGATGCCCTGCTCATTCACACGGCTCCCTCGACCAGGGGTTGGGTGCATCTGCCGAATCACCTGAACCATGTTGGCCAGCTGCAGGTTGGGGCGGAAGCTCCGCCGAGGAAAGCTCTTTCGGCACTGGGGACAGGTGAAGCACCTCCGAGGGGCTGGAGGTGGGGGCAGTGGGGTGACGGGGTCTAGCTCCTCTTCTTCGTCCTCCTCCAGCACTTCCTCCTCCTCATCCTCGTCCTCCCCCCTCAGGTCCTCCATGTCCCCCAAATAGTAGTGCAGGTCTTCCTCCTCGTCCTCCTCCTCCCACACGTAGTCCATGTTGTCCCAGTTGGACCCACCCATGCCACTGGTCCAGAACACACCCTCCTCTTCCTCCTCGACCTCCTCCTCCATTTCGCCCTCATAATCTTCTTCCCGCATGGGGGTGTCCCACCCGCCTCCGGCCCCCACAGCCTCCACTTCCTCCTCCTCTCCTTCCTCCTCCTCCTCCTCCCGGTCCAACTCATCCCTGTCCTCCTCATCCTCCCCACCCCACAACTGGGTTACACACACTCGGCAGAAGTTGTGCCCGCAGCCGATGGACACCGGGTCCGTGAAGTAATCGAGGCAGATGGCGCACACCGCCTCCTCCTGAAGGGTCTGCACAGGGTTGGGTGTCATGGCAACGGCAGCCATCTTAGTGTCCAGTCAGCCAGTGTAGATGTGCGGTGGGGGGGGGCGGGGGGGGGCGGGGGTCTTCCCTCTCAGACGCCCTGGCGACCCGGCCCCACCCCCAGTCCTGCCCCTTCACACCTTGCCTCAAGCGCTGCCAGAGAAATGTCCTCCCTACAACCCACCCCTCCAAAGAGTTCCCTACTCCCAGACGACAACCGTGTCTCTACGAGTGGAGGGGACAGAGCTGAGAACCACCGACAAGTCCCTCAGGTGGCCCTGAGTGCAAATCTGCCCCAACGCTCCCCCGGCCTCCTCATAAACCCCCGCCCCTCCTCACTTCCTGGCCCCGCCCCCTCACTTCCGGCCTCCCTCCTGACACTTCCGGCGTCTGCGCACAACCCAAGCTCTCGAGTTCCCTCCCCGATCGTGCTACGCCCTCTTCCCACCCCTCCCCACCCGGGCCCCCAAGGCAACAGGAAACGGCGAGGAGACGCTCTAGCAGACACTAGGGAACAGGGCGGGAAGCTAGGACGGTGGAGGCCCTCGTCTCTGTGATGCAGGGAAGCCGGGAACGCGCACAGAACAGAAGGACTGCCCACCTCCATCCCCCGCCACTGGAGAGAAACTACGGGGGACAGTGGGAGCGTTTGGCAGCTGTCTGCTCTCGGTGCTATGACCGCATCGGCCAGGCGCCATCCTACCGACCGAGCAAGGACGACTGCAGCAAGGACTCCCACAGCCGATGGCGGAAAGAGAGGGGCCGACTCCGGTGAACGCCCCGAAGTACTTCCGGCCCTTCTAGGCAGAAGACTTTGTTGTTTGACACTCTAGAGGGTCCTTCCTAGTCGGATCGGGAGGTGGAGCCTGAAGAAGTACTGTGGGAGTGGAGCCAGACATACCACCTTTCCTTTACTACTGTTGGCATTTCCACGCCCATTTTAAAAACTGACCACCGGTCACAGTCACAATGTTTGGGTGAACTTCCCTACTAAGGAAGAGTGACAAATCATTACATCCGTATAGTAGAACGCTCTTTAGCCATGAAAAAAAAAATCCTCTTCAGAATATTTATTAAATTTACAAAAACCAAGTTACAAAGTGCAGAGTATACTACCATCTGTTAAAAACAAAACAAAAAAAAAGGGTAGAGGGCGAATGTAAAATAAATTAATAGCTTTATATTCCTGCGCTTAATCAATAGTTCCTACCTCCGAGTTTTATGAGAATTAGTAAACCTCATGTATAAATTAGAACATTGCTTAGCTCGTGATAAGAACGATATAAGAGTTAGCTGCCCTTTATTATCATTCTTCTATGGAATACTACTGGTAGAGTTTCTCTAGAAGAAGTAGTATTCCACAGAAAGGATGAAAGCAGTAAGAAAAACACTCTCCCGTACATGTAGTTCGGTATCCTTTGAACTTTGAATCAAACCCATTTATTATCTTAAAGATATTTTTCCAAGTGTCATTGATTCATTCAACAAATACTTTTTTGAGCTGTGCACCGTTTGTGCACCGCTTGTGCACCGCTCTTGCTCCGCACCAGAACTACTTAGAGGTTTTCATTCGTGGAATCCCAATCTAAGAACAAGGGCTAGACTTGGACTTATAGGACTGGTTTTACTTGAAATCAAGTTTTGTCCAGGGTATATTGGTAAAGGTGATGCCTGGTCCCCTGAACATCTATGCCGAATAGATTCTTTGTGCGATAGAAATAATATTTGATGCTTCCTTTAAATATTTTTTAAATGGCGGAAGAAACTACTGGACCATGATTCATGTACAGAATACCCAGCAGGTGTTGGACACAGAGATACCAGGGTGGGGCATGTAAAACTTACTCTGTGAAAAACTTCAGGTGATCACCGTGGTTCCTTAGGAGGTGGGCCGGGGCCTCTGAGGACGTCTGTGTGAACGCGCCGAAACCACAAACCTTCGTGGTGAAACATTCTATATGCCAGGAATTGCAGGAGCTGCTGTGACAGAGATGTCGGGTACAAGAACTGGACAGAACTTGGCCGGCTGCTACAGGGGCAGAAGCCCCTTGTTCCCATAGAGTTCCAGGTTCGTGCGGCTTGTAGTCCCGCAGATCTACAGCTTCAGGAATATAATAATCAAAGCTAGCTGCAGGCAGTTTCCGTAGTGTAGTGGTTATCACGTTCGCCTCACACGCGAAAGGTCCCCGGTTCGAAACCGGGCGGAAACAAACTTTTTAAGGGTTCTTGTATATGAAGGAGACGGGCAATGAGACTGGACTAAAGCAAAACTAAACTCACAGCTTCAAACATAAATCCATGTCTCACACCTCACCTGCTTGGGTTTTTTGTTTGTTTGTTTTAATTTTTTTGTTTGTAGCAGGGTTTGAACCCGGGGACGCTTAACCACTGAGCCACATCCCCATCCCTTTTTATTTTTAATTATGAGACACAAAGTTGCTTACGCTCACTAAATTGCTTAGGCTGGCCTTGAACTTGAGACCCTCCTGCCTTAGCCTCCCCAGCTGCTGGGATCGTCTTTCTCTTCTCCTCAGATAGCCTATCCTGCAACCCTTCTAGAGGAATCCGTAGGCTTTAGACTCCCCAGGATCAAATCTTGTGCACAGTACATTCTATGTAATCTTGTGCCAGTTATTTCTAAAAACCTATGTGTGCCTCTGCCAGTAGATCTCAGTCTCCTGGAACACAGCACCAAAACCACTTCACCGTGCCCGGCTAGCTCAGTCGGTAGAGCATGAGACTCTTAATCTCAGGGTCGTGGGTTCGAGCCCCACGTTGGGCGTGGAGTAATTTTGAACGAAGGTGAGAGAGGCTCCCTCCTTTCTAAGGCAATTTGATGATACTTTCCTGAGCTATTGAGCCAGAGCCAGATGCCCCTTACTCTCCAGTAGCTGAAAGGAAGGCCGAAATTCTAGTAGAGTCCCTACCATAGCACCCCCTTCCCTAAAGGAATGTAATAAAGTTCTACCGCTGTGGGCTTTCCTCAGGAAAGGCTCTTTGAGTGATGAGATCCTCATCAAATTAACATCTCTTTGGATCAAGTCCATCTTTTGGAGATATTGCTCCATGCTTTCCTGCATCCACTTTACTTCCTTTATTTGTATTTTGAAACATTGTGGAGAGTAGGCTGTATTCTGCACTGCTCAGTTTTCAGGCTGTGCTTGAACCGTTATTTCTCCATTTTGTAGTTTCTCATAAGCCACTCCATTTTGAGCTAAACTGCTGCAATGGAATGACTGCACACCTTATTTGTACAAGTAAACACCAGCTGGCACAACCATAAGGCATAAACTGATAAACCAATTGTGCTAATAGAATGACTACCTGTGAAATTAATCAGATGTACCTGGATACATAAGCATATCAAACTCATATCAGAAAAACCAGGCCCATAAGTTTATTGAACACTGCTGAGAGCCATAGCCAAGTTGGAAATGACGCATGGCATTTTGGGGTTGAAATTGTTTAGAAAGGTGGCCCTGTTGGATTAGGGTGGCTCCAGGTTTAGGGTGGATCCTGTTGGATTAAGGTGGCCCCAGGTTTAGGGTGGATCCTGTTGGGAATAGGGCGTAGCCTGTTGCCTCAGGCGCCTGCTCTTTGAGTTCTCAAGCGGTTCTGAGAGAATTGGTATGCAGAGCCTGGTGGAGGGAGTGTATTTTTTGCAGAACTTGCGTGTGTAGAGCGGGTGAGAGGTCGGGAATAAAGAGTTGCTGTTTGAATCTACAAGGCTTTTGTGGTGGCTCGGTTATTTTGTGCCCAGACAGACTGCGGCAGAACACTAAAGGAAGCCACCCCTTCGATTGAGACCCATAAAAGGAGGAGACCGGAGAGAGAGAAAACAGTAGCAGCGTGAATCCATTACCTGATCATTTGTCATGAGCCTTGTCCAAGAAAATAACCTTATTCAGGAAACTCCATATCTCTGACCTTGGGCTGTAGCTGAGTGTAGTTTTTCCTACCCGTGAGGCAAGTCCCACTCCAAGCTGACATCTCAAGCTGACACTGTGCCATCAATTGGGAACTTGGCCTAGAAAAAGTTCTTGTTCTTGTAACTCTGCACCATGAACAAGTTCTTTGGGTGGTTTGTATTCTTATCTGACTACTTACAGTATATTCATATCTGCTCTCTGCCTTTGCTCTCTGTTCAGCCTTCTGAACCCCTGTGGATGTCTTAATCCTTTCTGTAAAACACATACATACACAAACATATGTATTTGTGTGAAGTGTGACACGTGATTTGAGTTCTACAGATAATAGAAATCAAGATTGCCCAGTTATGATTACCAGGTGACCTACAAGTATTCAGTGAACTGCCACTGATGAAAGTGGTATAGCCAGTGAATTTATTGCTATTCAATAAATTCTGATGTTGTGGAAAGACACAAATGTGTTTGGTCTATGTTAATAATACAGCATTCTCACGACACATACTAACACGAATATCCTCCATTTATAAGTCACAATTTTTTTCCTTAACTTTGGTTGAAATTAATTTGTTTACATTGACTGCTTTTTCATCCTGCAAATAGAGTCTGGTTTCTATTTTACCCCTGTCTAAGTCTCCCACGCTAATACTCCAGACCACAAGAGAAGTCTAGTAAAGCTAGTTTATTAAACTTGCTAAGGAAAGAATAGCATCACCTTCAGACTCAGAAGTCTTAGGAAGAGTTTGATATTGTTATGCTATGAGGGTAGTCTGGCAGGAATGGGTCAGGATTCATTAAATAGGCAGAGATGCTAGTACAGTCCTACTGCCACAGAAGAGTGAGAAGCTGAAGCTTCAAACCTCGGTTCTTGTGTTCTGATTAAAGAAATTTTACAGTCACACACACACACACACAAATGCAAGAGAATTTTATTAGGAGTGAAAGCAAAGTAAGGCTCAAGCAAAGAATAACTTCAAGAGTGTGGTCCTCTTCAAGCAAAGGATGACCAAGGAAACAATGCTGCTTCCAAATTGATATTTACCAGAAGAACTGGATTCAGTCTTTGCCAGTCAGATGTTTATTTCCTTTATCACATCTGGCGGGGGAGTTTTTGACCCCTGTTGGTCCTCTCTGGAATTGTCAGGGAGGTCAATATACTGGAGGGGATGGGATTCATCTACAAGTCAGTCCTGTGTTAATGTGGGTATTTGGGTCAGTGACTGGACAAATTTACCTTAGTGTACCTGCAATACTAAAGAAACTTTCATTCTGAAATACATTGAGAAACCTGTGACCATAAATCCTGACTTTATAATGACCTTGGTGGACCTGCCAGGAGTTAGCCCCATTGATCTTTCTTGACTTATTTTTTAATCAGCTTCCTTTGTTTCCACCTGTTTATTC